CCTAAAATCTAAAATTTATTTAACTCAGAATCTCCTAATCTCGTAAACCCCTAAAGATTACTCTTACAACACTTCGATGAAGATGAAAAACCATCTCACAATCTAAAACTGTTCACCTCACTTTGCTCCACATCGGTTTCTTTCTATTTTTCACATTCACAGAGTCTAGGATAGATAAATTGTAGTCGATCCAACTCCATATGCACTTCTCTTTATCTAAATTTAGTGGTTATGGTTCTTGTCACACACGACATCACAACGGCTTTTAGAAACTGGCCTATCTCTCATGGTTAGCTAATGCTGTTTATATTTTCTTGCTCTCTTCTAATTGTTGATGAAATTTTTATACGACATTTCTCACCATTTCTTTCTTGCTTTTCTCTATATCTACCTCTAATCTTTTATTCTACTCAATTAGAAAGTAACATATTTTCTGATTGATCATTTTTTTCTCGTCTTTGATTTAAGGTTTAAGTCAAGAATCCCAGATGAGGTTGAGGCAAAACATGGTGTTCAAGAGAACAATCCATGGTCCAACATCTAAAATTTGAAAGCTGAAATCGATGGCCGCCTGCTACCGAGACGATCAGACTAATATATTATTGGATGAGTATTTTGACCATGAAGGATATGTGCATATCGATAGTAGATCGTAGCTCGATTGCTTTGCAGATTATTAACCCTAGTGGCTTGATTCTTGCAGGGGATTAACGAATGAATGAAGAACACAAAGTTAAGACGCCGCCGCAATATACCAAGTTATATCAAGATCAAACAAGATTTTGGTACATCAGTTGTAGCACGTATACCTAGTAAAGGGGTAGTTTCGTCCTTTCATTAAAAGGAGGAGAGTATGTAGATTAGAGGAGATGTACTACCTAGTTGTACCTCCTCCTAGTTGTACCACCTAGTTGTATCCGAATATTCCCGAATATTCTCTAGTTGTACCAGTTACAACCCGAATAAAAGGATTCGAACCCTGGGGGCGCGCGCGTGCGCATGGAGCTCGCAACCACTGAGCTATTGTGTTTTTCATTGAACATTTACCGATTTAATTTTATTTAATCTTTATCACCCGAAATCAACCCTCATTAAGGATAATTTTGTCTTTCTACCATTGAGGAGTATTTGCGACAAAATTTGGAGCTTGAGGAGCCCCTGAGAATTTGTTCCTTCCAAAGCTATGTATTACCTTAAGTACATCGGTAACTTTTTTTCCTTCACTTTTGTGTCTTTTACAGTTTTTTTTTTTTTTTTTTAAAATACTTTTACAGTTTTTACCATTTTGGTTCTGTTTAAAAAAATAGAAAGAAGAGAAACCACCTTCGCTTTCTCTGCTGGTGGAAGGTGGTGCTTCGATACTACGACAAAGAGCAACAAACTAGTAAATCCTCAGAGATCTGAGCCCCATTTTTACTCGACATATCTTTCCGTCACTACTTCTCGACATTCCGGTGTACCGGATTCTGATTCCGGAACGGACATTGCTTCACGTTGGCCTGTAAGCAGATTTCGTTTTTTGCTCTGACTTTGATTTTGTTATCTTTGTAGTTGATTCAGTAAATTCTTCTCTGATATGAGGAAATTTCTGGGCACTTCTGATTTTGCCGTCTCTAGTGATTTTGAATTGCCAAGACTAGTCTTTTGGGATTTTGTTGAATTTCAATTTTTTCTAAGACTAACCGAAAAAAATCTGATTTTTTTTTCTTCTTATTTAGTATAAAGTTCGTGAATCTAACATTATCTGCTGAATCTATAGTTAAATTTGAAAATGATTTTGAAATTCAATGTAATTTTATGTTTATCATAAACCATAATTTTTTCATGTTTCAGGGATTGATTTACGTTAAACAATATCAACATTCTACTGTAAGATTGAATCTTGATGATCTCGCCGCCCGATTTCTCGTTTGAGTGATTTTGGCTGATAAAAATGAAGAGATTTTATGGAGGACTTCTTGTTGTATCAATGTGTATGTTCTTGACGGTGTATAGATATGTTGACTTGAAAACTCCTGTTGAAAAGCCTTTTATTACTGCTGCTGCTTCTGTTGTTGTTACTCCTAACACCACTCTTCCTATGGAATGGCTGCGGATTACACTCCCTGACTTTATGAAAGAAGCGAGGAACACTCAAGAAGCGTTATCTGGTGACGATATTGCTGTTGTTTCGGGTTTGTTTGCTGAGCAGAATGTGTCTAAAGAAGAGAGAGAGCCTTTGCTTACTTGGAACCGTTTGGAAAGTTTGGTTGATAATGCACAGAGCTTAGTTAATGGAGTTGATGCTATTAAGGAAGCTGGCATTGTTTGGGAGAGTCTTGTGTCAGCTGTTGAAGCTAAGAAACTAGCTGATGTCAATGAAAATCAAACGAGGAAAGGGAAAGAAGAGCTTTGTCCTCAGTTTCTCAGCAAAATGAATGCTACTGAAGCTGATGGGAGTAGTCTCAAGTTGAAAATTCCTTGTGGTTTAACTCAGGGTTCCTCCATCACAGTTATTGGCATCCCAGATGGTCTTGTTGGTAGTTTTCGGATTGATCTAACGGGACAACCGCTTCCAGGGGAGCCTGATCCGCCCATTATTATGCATTACAATGTTAGGCTTCTTGGTGACAAGTCGACGGAAGACCCTGTGATTGTTCAAAACAGCTGGACGGCATCTCATGATTGGGGAGCTGAGGAACGCTGCCCAAACTTTGATCCTGATATGAATAAGAAAGGTGAATGCAAGTATAGTTTCACCCGCTTACATAAATGTAGTCACTTGATCTTCCATGAATAAGCCTGTTGACATGATTATAATACACAGTGGATGACTTGGATGAATGCAACAAGATGGTTGGTAGAGAAGTAAACCGAACTTCTTCTACTAGCTTGCAGTCCAACACTTCAAGGGTAGTTCCAGTAGCTAGGGAAGCATCTAAACAGGAAAGATACTTTCCTTTTAAGCAGGGTTTCTTATCGGTTGCTACACTTAGGGTGGGAACGGAAGGAATGCAAATGACAGTTGATGGGAAACATATAACCTCATTTGCTTTCCGCGATGTAATATTAATATCATCACTCTTCTTTTACATTCTTCTACTGTTCTTAGCAATTTTTTCATCAAATGTTTAGTTTCTCATGTGGGTTCTTCATCTTTTGTTCATCCTTTCAGACACTGGAGCCGTGGCTTGTTAGTGAAGTACGGATTACGGGTGACTTTAGGTTATTATCCATTCTTGCCAGCGGTTTGCCCACATCAGAAGAATCAGAGCACGTTGTTGATCTAGAGGCACTAAAAGCACCTCCCCTTTCACCATTAAGGCCACTAGATCTCGTTATTGGTGTTTTCTCCACTGCAAACAACTTTAAAAGACGGATGGCTGTGAGAAGAACATGGATGCAATATGATGATGTAAGGTCTGGAAGAGTTGCAGTACGCTTTTTTGTTGGCCTTGTAAGCTTTCTTCTTCTCTGAAAATATCTGGTGTATGTTGGAATTGCTTAATTCTTAATCATGATTTTCATTGTGGTTGATAATGCAGCACAAAAGTCCTCTTGTTAACCTGGAACTCTGGAATGAGGCTCGGACTTACAGTGATGTTCAGCTAATGCCCTTTGTTGATTACTACAGTCTCATTAGTTGGAAAACACTAGCCATCTGCATCTTCGGGGTAATAATTTTCTTTGTCATGTCTCTTCCTTGACACAATTGAGTAGTATTTACTGTTTTACCTCACTAACGACATATTTTAAACAGACAGAGGTTGACTCAGCCAAGTTCATCATGAAAACGGATGATGACGCCTTTGTTCGTGTAGATGAAGTACTACTTTCTTTATCAATGACCAACAACACTCGCGGGTTAATATACGGACTGATCAATTCTGACTCTCAACCTATTCGAAACCCCGATAGCAAATGGTACATCAGTTACGAGGTACAACACAATCTGACATGGCCATGTTATCAAATAGACTGATTTCTGAATTCATTTAACAAAGTTTCTACTAAAAAAAACAGGAATGGCCTGAAGAGAAATATCCACCATGGGCGCATGGTCCAGGCTACATTGTATCCCGGGACATAGCAGAATCGGTTGGTAAGCTTTTCAAAGAAGGAAACCTAAAGGTACTATAACACTCTATGCTAACTCCATTTAGTCACGGATTCACATAGAAATGGATTGTGAAATTTTGAAATTGTGAATAGATGTTTAAGCTAGAAGATGTGGCAATGGGGATATGGATAGCTGAGCTGACGAAATATGGACTCGAACCTCATTACGAAAACGATGGAAGGATCATTAGTGATGGATGCAAGGATGGTTATGTGGTTGCTCATTACCAAAGCCCCGCCGAAATGACTTGCCTTTGGCGTAAATATCAAGAAACCAAACGCTCTCTTTGCTGCCGCGAATGGTAAAACTCAAAAACTGAAACGCACATTTTAAACCATTGCGGTTTGGTCCGCAGGTACATAAAGAGAAAAGAGTTCATTCTTAGTCACAAAATATTTGAATTCGTTTGTTTGTTGTACAAGTAGCCTAGATTTGCAATTTAGTTTAGGTGTATATTACTTGTTTCACTAAAGATGTACTAAAACTTTGAACTGATACTTTTTAATTCGATGAGAGTATAGAAAATTAGAAATCATAAGAGCATATTATATACTTTTACAATTTCATTTTAATCAATTGTTATTGCTTACTCTTCACACATGTTAACCTGTAATCCACTAGAGAGTGAGACGTGTCACTTCAAGTAAAGATCCGAAACCAGTGGAACTTTTTCTTCTCTTCTTATCCCACCACCAGGCATATAAATATGTGCAACAGCCTCGAGTGTTGAACTAAAAATTCCAGAAACACCCTTCGTCGTCGTTAAGTATACTCTCTGCTATGAGGAGAATTTAGACAAATCATAAATGTTGAGTCAGAGAACAATGTGACATAGGTATTTGGCTATTTGCTAATGGATAAACATATCGATAAGATCAATCATTCTCTTCAACTTAAATTATTTTAGGTCCCATAGGCCATAAGTAATTTACTCAAGAGAAAAAAAGTCTACTCGTTAATAATTTCTAGATCTTTCCGCAAGCAACTCTCTTAAATCTTGAAACGCCAAGTTTCCTTAGAGAATCAAACAATTATTTTGTTTTGAGATGGCGACAGAACAAGAAGCTGAAGTTGGAACAGAGACATCATCTACTTCCGGAAGATTTTTGAGGAACAGAGATTTATATCTCTTCTTGCCTTTTCTCTTAGGTTTCTCTGATCAAGAACCATCAAACGGCGATGATGATGATGTTGCTTCGTCGCGTGAGAGAATCATTTTAGTCAACCCTTTTACACAAGGAATGATCGTGCTCGAAGGATCATCGGGAATGAATCCTCTGCTTCGTGACATACTGGAGTCACGTGAGGAAGGTCGTCCTCCTGCGTCCAAGGCTTCCATCGATGCGATGCCGATCGTTCAGATCGATGGTTATGAAGGAGAGTGTGTGATCTGTTTGGAGGAGTGGAAGTCCGATGAGATGGTGAAGGAGATGCCGTGTAAGCATAGGTTTCATGGTGGATGTATAGAGAAATGGTTAGGGTTTCATGGGTCGTGTCCTGTTTGTAGGTACGAGATGCCTGTTGATGGAGATGAGGTTGGGAAGAAAAGAAACGATGGGAGTGAGATTTGGGTTAGGTTTAGTTTCAACGATGGTCCGAGAATTAGAGATTCTTCTGGTCAGGAAGGTGGAAACAACGATGGTGATGGTAACACTATTGGATCTAGCACAAGACCTGTTGTTGAGTCCGAGGATTAGGATTTTACATAAGAAGCTTTTGTAAAAACTTGTGCCTTTTTTTGTTTGGTTTCTTTTTGTTCTTGTTTTTGGGAGAAATTGATGAGCATTTTTTTCTTTTCCCATGAAAATTTGGTTTTTAGGTTTCTTTCTTTTGGTTTGCTTCTTCGTTTAATTTCTTGAATTCGTGTATTAGAAGTTAGGGATTTTCAATAACTCTTTTAGTTTTCTATTGCAAGACTTCTTTTTCTACGAAATTTAGAACATAAACAATGAACACGTTTACATGTCCTTGAAACTGTTCAAACTCAATCCCAAGTCTTCTTCACCCTCGTGACTTCTAAAACCTCTCTTCCTAATAGGTTGTTCCGTGCAAACGGCGCCGTTCCAGCTTCTCCTCTTTTGCTTCATCACTTCCTCTGGTTTTAACTCCATCAACTCAAGCTCACTCGATGTCCTCATAACGCTCTGATAATGGCTTTCAATTTCTAAGCTCTCCGGCAAAGTCAAGGAGCTGTCAACTGAACTTCTCGTCTGTCGAATTCCTCTGTTTTCTTGTTTCTTGGATCCTAAGAAAGCTTCTCTTTCCTCAACCTGCTCTTCTTCATCTACTTGCGTCAGTTCAGAAAAAGAAGAGCTGAGACAGCTTCTGTTCTCCATTGGTGTTACTCTATAGAGTTCGGATTCGGATCTAGCAAAGTCTATGCCGAGATTCGAAAATGTGTAACCGGAGAGTGTTTCTTGAGCTTTAATTAACACTGACTGTAAATATTTCCCTTGTGCCTCTGTCCTCACTTGCAACTGTCTCTGCACCTGAAACAAAAGTAGAAACTTTCAAGAACTTCCAATTGTATCTGAAGCAAGAAAGCTCTGATTATACATATTGTGTGATTCAATCAGAGTCAGAGGCGTAATGTTGTTTACTTCGATTTGTTCGTGAAGCTTCTTTTGGACTTCCAATTGTATTTCTAGCGCCTCCTTGATATGCAAGTTTCTGCTTTATGAAAATGATTATAATGAATTCAAGAAAGCTGAATCTAGCTATGAAAACAGAGTAATCTTTTCTTCTTTGATGATTATTACTTGTTAGGTTGACCATCTTTTTGGGTGACAATAATGTCTAGTTGATGATCTCTAGGATTCTGAGCTTCTAGAATTTCTGCAGCACAAGAAACTAAAATAACCAAACCCCACTAGCTCAGATCAAACCTCAAAATTTTTAGAATTTGTAATCTTATAACAACATTAATAAATCTACAGATTAACAAATAAAACATCATCATAATCAAAGAATTTCTAACCATCTTCTTGCTTGTTACCAACGAATCTCTTGCTTTTTACCAGCCGATATTTCTGAAAAGCAAAGAAAAATAGAACATGAATCTGCCAATTTTGAGTTTGTAAATTGCAAGAAATGGAGTAAAAAAAAAACTAATTCGAATTAAAGTTTTTTTTGTCAAAAAAACCTGTAAATGGCTCTTAAGATGTGACAAAGTAAGCTTAGGAATCTCCATAATCCTCATCAAACCCTTGGGCGTCGCTTCTGAAGTCACACATAACAAAGAGAAAAAAATGAAAAACCAATCAAGAATCGAACATAAGACCAACCAAACCACAAACACTTCTTGATTCCTTGATTAAGAGGTTTCAAAAGGACAAAGAAGATGGAAACAGAACTTTCTAGTCCACCAAGTTGATTAACAGCATCGATGAATCTGTTTTGAAGCTCACAACTCCATCTCAATCTCTGCTTGGATTCCTTTGACTTCTGGTTCTTCTTATTATCCATGTTCTGTAGTAACAATCAAGAATATATGATCTCAAACGCAAAAACACTACTCTGGCCACAAAAAAGATTTAAAAGAACATGTAGTTGTTGGAGTTTGCTTTTACTCTTGTTCTTCAAATCTTATTCTCACACCATATCTGGAAACATGAGTGGGGAATATATGCTCTCTGGACTCTTTTCTCTTTCTTTTTCTTTTATTTATCTACTTTTTTCGCAGTTTACGTTTAAGTATTTGACTATTTGTTTCCCTTTCCTCGATTACCTCCGGATTTCACACAACTTTTTAAATATATTTTTCTATATTTTTGGAAGTTTTGTGTAACGCTTTCTTCTTTGACCTGAAGTGGGTTAGACAGAATCTATGATGCAATAATGTCAAATGACAAACTTCCCAAGAAAATTATCCTAGACTGGAGTTTATCAAGCTCATTTCTTCTCCTTAACTCGACAACCCCATTTCCATACTCTTCTCCTTTGATGTATTTCTTGGAATTTCCCTAAACTATATTATAGCATGTAATAAAACGCCAACAATTAAACAATGGTAAACAAAAGGTTAAAAATGTTGTAGGTGTACAAGATATAGTAACAATTATATAATAACATTAACAATATCAACCACTTAACATGCTTATTTTTTTACTATTATAAACCACGGAAAGGAAAATAAGATGCAACAAATATTTTAAAGCTTAAAATCCCATAAAAATATATAGAAGAGCCTCTATGGATCCCATGAAAAGCATATAGAATGGCCTCCGTCACGTTTTTCACGACAAGGGGCTGGTTCATAAATGTACCATATACATTCTCTACAGACCCCAATAGGACTTGTTGCACTGTCGTCTCTGTCTGCCCTAAAAATATCAAATTTCTCTTTACTTCCGGGCCACTCGAAAGTGCAATTATACGTTGTTGTTTTACGAAAATTGACATGAAACCTGAAATCAAAACTAGCTCCAATTGGGAGCTTTTTTATCCCCAAATCTTTCTCTTTATTCATGCAATGTACGACCAATGTTGCACGTGTGGTCAATGTGTTGTAGATCACGACATGTTTAGGTGAAAACAGTAAAATTCCATCGATGGACGAATGATTTCCCAAAGATGACGATTTTTTTGGGATAAATAAAAATGAGAGAAGCAGGAAAGTGAAGTGGTTATTTGTTGAGGAAGCCATGGAAGGGTTTAAAGGTTTTGTGACACAATATTTTTCTTTGCTTCGAAAGTATAGTATTTTATAGATGGAAAAACATCTATTATATATCTTTTAATTAGTCATTGGGAGGGTGAAAAGGATGTGAAAATCTGTTATTCTTTAAAAATAATCTAAAAACTAATAATTAGTTGATTACTAGCTTACTAAATAAAATCTATCTTTATTGTTCTTTAAATGGTTAATATTTTTCAAAGTGTAAAATGATAAGATCTCTCAAATTATCTTTTATAATGCAGTGCAATTTTGTCCAAAAACTCTGTTTTTTGTCATTAACATTTGTTAGTCACAATTGAAATCTTTTATAAGAATTCTTGATCTGCTGTCCTCTTAACTTTTTACAATTTGTTAAATATACATTAAACTACCGAGAGAAACTGCCATTATAGATTTTCTTCTTGTTGTTTTCCCACATGGAAACAACTAGAAATCCAAGAGGTTGGCTCTTGCACGATAAAAATAGTTTTTATTTTGGACAAGTGCAAAGAGCTGGTTGGTTAGACACAAAAGAATAAAGATAGATACGTCTCCACAAGCCAGACTAGGAGCCTCTCAACTTTTCCCGATGAGCACTAAGGCGATTTTCTTGTGTATATTCAAAGAGAAAAAGATGAGAGTTTTAGCGTGAGAGGGTAGAGAAGATTTGAATGTGAGTTGAATGATAGCTCTTCATAATCCTCATCAACGCTTAGGTTTCGCCTCTAAAACCACAGAAAGCAAAACAAAACACACACCAAAACACACATGATTCCTTGATTCTTTGGTTTGAAAAGGACAAAGAAGATAGATGCATGAAGCTCACAATTCCATCTCAACCTCAGGTTAGAGTCCTTTACCTTCTAATTTTTTTCATTATCCATGTTTTGTAGAAATCCAAATGGGAGCTTTTTATACACAATGTGCGGCCAATGTTGCAGGTGTGGTCAATTTGTTAACGATCAAAATCTGTTTAGGTGCAAACGGCAATAATCCGTCGGTGGACGAATGATTTTCACAAGATGACGATTTTTTTTTTTTTTTTTTTTGATAATTCAGGAGAATCTCAGATCTATAGAGGGGCCCAGACTAATCCCTTGGGGGAGGTGCAGCTCACAGATAGACTCTTTCTCCGGGTATGCAAATGGGCCGAAAGCAAGGGCCCATATCCATGTGGCCAAGTAGAGATCTAACAATTGCGCGCTTGCGGGGAATCGATCACTGGCCTAGACCAACAGGGCAACTCTTCCACAAGTGGCAACCACTAGACTAAGAACACTTGGTTAAGATGACGATTTTTATTAGGATAAATAATGGAAATGAGAGTATAGCACCAAAATATAATTGTTATTTGTCGACGAAGTCATGGATAAATTTAAAGTTGTTGTGAAACAATTTTTTATGCTGTTCGGACTTCCGAAAGTAGTAGATATAGAAAAACAATTATCTTTCGGTAAGAAAAAAAAGCTAATGGGTGAAATCTATATCTACGTAATTAATTAATTACAAGTAAATGTATAGAGAATCTAAACATGTTCATTAGTAATTAAATTCTATATTTACTAGCATACTATTGCTAGATAAAATCTATCTTTATTGTTCTTTAACAAATTAATTATTATTTTAGAAATTAATGTAATACAATATCTCAAATCCTCTTTTGTAATATAATAAAATCACACCAATAAAACTACAGTTCTTGATATTTAATAGTTTCTTACTTTCTTTTAGTTGACATCTTTTATAAAAGTTCTTGATCTGCTGTCTTCTCACTTCTTACATTTTGTTTAAATGATATTAAATTAATGAGAGAAACTACCATTATATTTTCTTGTTGGATTATAAAAAAAATCATCAATAACTTTTAAAAGAAGAAACCCTCTCTACCTTATTTTAATTTAAAGGTGTCCACGTAAAGAAAAGTGAACCCATCATATACCATACAACTAAAGTAAGAGAACTTTTAGAATTATGAAAATATATATATGCTTGGTCTCTAAATGAGCACAGGTCCACAACGATGATCCAATATTGACATGGAAAGAGACACCCAATTACTCTGCGGTAGAATAATCAATACTCGTCTCGGATTTAGAGAAATATGAAACAAATATATGAATGAAATTGCATGGTTATGTAAAAAGCTTATGTATATGTTGTAAACAATTATTAGAAGAGAAAAATTGACAAATATGTAACAACAATTTCAAACAGATTATATGTCTATTTATTAATATTCCAATGCAACACAATGAAAGAAAAGTACCATAAATATTAAAATTATAGCTGAGACAATTTCACGCAAAATCTCAAAGCGAAACTCATTTCACCTTATTTCCCCCTAACTTACTTAATCATCGTATTCGTCCGTCTATATAAGATGATTAAGAGCTTGATTAGTATGCAGTTCTTTCATGTTTTCAATAATTCCGTCAAGTAATTATTATTCATAAAATTGTGATGAATGATAAAACATAAAAGATGACAAGTGACTTTTTAATTTATCTTGCATGTTTTAAAATTATAACTAAACTAGAGAAAATTTGTTCATCTAGCTACTAAATAGTAATTTTTTTTGCCTTTGAAAAAAATCAATTCTAATCAGTTTAAAAGTTTCTGTCATTCTATTGATTCTGCTATTTCATAATTCGTCTATTCATCTATTAATCTGACATACCAGTCGATCTTTAAGATGTCCATGAAAAACAGAAAGGAGCCCCTCCATCGCGTCTAGCACGACATGGCCCTGACTCACAAATATACCAAATACATTCTTTACATATTCCACATGTACTTTTTGAATTATCGTCTCTATCCACTCTAAAAATATCAAACGTCTTTGCATTTCCTGGCCACGAGAATGTGCAAGTGTATGTTGTTGTTCTGCGTAGATTGACATGAAACCTAAAATCTATTTGTTCTTGGGATTGGAGCGCACGAAACCCCAAATCTTTCCCTTTATTCCTACAGTGCACGACCAATATTTCATGTGAGTTCAATGTGTTGATGATTACAACATGTTTAGGTGAGAACGGGAAACCTCCATCGACAGATAAAAAGTTTCCAAACGCTAACGACGTTTTGATGATTTCAAGAATTGTAATTAGCACGAAAATGAAATGGTGATTTGTTGAGGAAGCCATGGATGTATTTTTGCTGGTTTGTAATATACTTTTTTTTGTGAAGTGGTATTTATGAAGTAAAAACATTTGTGAACATTATTACCCTTCTTGTTATTTCCTTGACAAACATTTAATATACCCTATAATTAGTCATATTTAAAAGGATGTGAAATTTGTTAATTAAAGATGTGAAAATCTGTAGGTTATATAGTTTATAATGATGTATTTTCAAGTAAACATGTCTATTGGTTGCTAGCACATTTTTTTTTTTTTTTTGGGAATTAAGAAGGTAAGATATCTCAAATCAGCTGTTTTTGTCTAATAGTATTCGGTCTGTCATCTTTACTTCTTTAGTACTCCCTCTGTATTTGAAAAAATGTCGTTTCAACTGTTTTTGGGTGAATTAAGAAAGGGCACAGAATTACAAAACTAACCTTATGAGAAACGATTATTTACAATTATATTTTTGGTATATGTAGTTTTGGTAATTTAGACTGATTAATTATGATCAATTAATTGGGGGTAATTTAGGAAATTTTATGCAAAAGTTGTTAAAATGACAACTAATTAAAAACACAGAAAAAAGGCTAGAACGACATTTATTCAAATACGGAGGGAGTAGGTTTTTCTTTAGCCATATTTAGCTAGTCCAATTATTCACAACTATTTTTTATATTTTTCTAATAAAAAAAAAAACTAAATACCTTTCATTATATATTGACGTCTTCTAAATTGTTAAAGAGAGAAACTTTTAATAGTTTTTTAGATTTAAAAAAAAAAAAAAAAGAGAAAAACTATTAATGATGGGATATTAAAAAAACAGAGATATATGTAGAGAAATCGCTTAATTTATTTTTATTTCTTCTATTATTTTTTTGTCAACTATTTTATTTCTTCTATTTAGCCACTATTCTCTCAAATAATTTACGTACTGCGATGTTTTTTGTTAATTACAAAAATGAAATTGGAGTCTTAACACATTTTCTGAGCGGAAACATAAGTAAAAAAGATAGTGTTTGGCTAATTAGCGTAAAAGTCTTCAAAATATGATTAATCTGACTTCTAGAGAAGAGCTTGAATTTGGTGATGGTAAATAGGGACTCATCAACCAATTAGTAAATGCATATTTTGGGATACTTCTTGACAAGCAAACATATTTGCGTCCATGGAATACACAAGAATTAGCAAAACACACACAAAGAATGAACAACACCACTTAAGCTAAGAGAATAGATAAATATGGATTTTTGTATTTAAACTAGAAAGTAGAAAGTAAACCAGCAAGCATATTACAAACAAGCTAAACGTATATGGGTTTTCAAATCTTGTATTCTTTATCTTGAACCTCTAATTACTCGGTCCATTCCGTTATATGCTTCGCTTCATCTTTTTTGCGTCCGAAAGGTATCCAAACTCCGCTTTTTCTGAGGTGTGCCGGCAAATAATCAAAAGACTCCAAAATGCAATGCAAAACTCCTAAGATGCCTATATACGAAAAGAAAAACGAGCAAAATTACAATGGTTAAAAAGGGGATATATTAGTTTTTATGCTTGGATATGCTACTTACCTAATAAAATAATGACACTGATTTCTAACACACCTATGGTAGATGTTCATTGGTCCTATGGCCTATGGGATGACGACTTTTAACTCTAAGTAGTATTTTCTATTAGACGTGTGAACTTCACACGGTGTACAACCGACGTAGACCAAACAATGTTGCATATTGCCATGTGGAGTTACTCTAGAATTGGCATTTTTGTAAAATAGTTTTATCATGTTCTGTTTTTTATAAACAGGGTAAATCATGAGCTGAACCTAAATTAATCCTCGAGATCTATAGAAATTGGGTATCCTTGCGATATAAGGTATCTACGGTAACCCAAAAGAAATAGATCCATGGTTTTCATACAAGAGAGAGTCCTCAACCCTTTTGAAGAGACTGCTAAGCCACTTTTATAGGACCATTCAAAAACAAAATCTCCATTTTAATAACTAACTAATTTATGTCTCGTAGTGAATTTTTCGATGTGACAAAAAATGTCGATTTTTTCATAACATTTTTCTCTCTATTTCTAGAGAGTTTTTCTTTACCAAGTTTTAGTTGTTTCCTTAAGAACTCCAAAATCCAAACTGACGGCGTTTATGTGCTTTAATTACACGAAATAATTGCTTCTCTTGCGGTTTAAATTTATGTGCGGTATTCATTCTCAACAACGAACTCCGGAAAGTTTGAACTCCAATTAACATTCTTTGACTAGATTTCGTACGAGTATAGTAAGGTTATTCTGCTTCTTCCGGATCTACAAGAATAAGCGGTGAACCATAAATCATATATACCATATTCAGTTTGATTGGGGAATGGATGTATATATCCAAAGAAACAAAACCGTGAATCCTTATGAAAACGTTTTTTTTTTTTTTTTGAATCAAAATCCTTATGAAAACGTTGCCTCGTGAATGTGTCGTGAATTCAGAATTGCATGGTTATAATACAAATCTACTCTATTATCACATGAGAAACTAACATATATGTAACCACAAATTCATACACCAACTTATTTTATTTTATTATTACTAAAGTAAATGAAGGGGAAAATACAAGATATTTTTAAATGACTAAGAAGCCCAAGGAAAACACTGAGGCTGGCCTCCATCACGTCTATCACGACAAGGAGCTGGCTCATAAATACTCCAAATACATTCGCTGCAAACTCCATATTTACCTCTTGGATTATCGTCTCTATCCGCTCTAAAAATATCAAACGTAGCTGTATTGCCGGGCCACTCGAAACTGCAAGTGTACGTTGTTGTTTTACGGAGATTGACACGAAACCTGAAATCAAAACGAGCTAAATGTTGGAGGCTTATTACCCCTAAATCGTCCCCTTTGTTCCTACAATGCACAATCAACGTTGCAAGTGTGACCAATTTGTTGATGATGATAACATGTTTAGATGCGAAGGGAAAGAATCCTTCGGTGGAGGAATAATTTCCAAATGATGACGACGCTTTATGGACAACGAGGAATAAAATTAACATGAAAATGAAATTTTGATTTGTTGAAGAAGCCATGTGTGTGGTGGTTTTACTTTAAGACTTTGTTTATTCGGAAGCAAAATTTATAGATCAAAGAACATATAAGTTCTTTTTTTTTTAACTGCAAAAACAATATATTATTTTTTTGGGATAAAGGATGTGAAAATCTTTAGTTTATAACTTATAACAATGTATTGGCGATAAAGATATGGAGTCTAATCATGTTCATTAATAATTAGTTAATTATAACCATACTAATTAAAATCTATATTTTATGCTTTCTAAATTAATATTATTTTCTGGCAACAAAAATGGTTAGATTTATGGAATTTTCTATTTTTCACCTATAGAGCTATTTGTCTTTCAATTATTCATGACTATGTAATTTTATTAAAAATTACATATTTATATCAAACAAATTATTTTTATAATCTTCTAATTATATTTTCTTAACTTTTAATTTATATATTTATTAATGTCATTGTTATTTACATATCTTCTAATTAATATTAATATCAAAATTTATAAATATTCATTAAAAATATCTAAAAAATTCAACATGCTAGACTCGCGGATTTTCTTTTATTTTGTGTTGTAAATAAGTGTACATTATTTTTTATATCTATTTTTTTATGATCCTAATAAGCACTCCCATCTATTGGTGAATATTTACTTGTTTTTCTAATTTGGTTCATCCAAATTATGATGTTACAATAATTTTAACTTTTATTAGTTTACCATTTTCAGTATTTTGTGCTTATGTATCACAAATTTTTAACTATTTTATTTAATTATTTATGCTTATATTTTAATAATTTCTAATATAATTCATATTAAATAGTTTTATATTCATTAATAACTGAACGCATGTTATCTATTTATTTGTTTTTAACACTAAATTGTCAATTTCTGAAGAGGTCATTTTGTCTATTATATATAGGATTGTCGTTGCAATTGTTGTGTTTCCAAACGCAGACCAACTGGTTAGAATTTCATGGTTATAAGAACAACCTAATCTAGCTAATATCATAAGACAAACTAAAAATATGTAACCACAAATTCAAACACCAAATTATTTTATTTTATTATTACTAAAATAGATGAAAGGGAAAGTACAAGATATCTTAATATTTTTAACTGACTAAGAAGCCCATGGAAAACATTGAGGCTGGCCTCCATCGCGTCTATCACGACAAGGAGCTGGCTCATAAATACTCCAAATACATTCGCTGCAAACTCCATATTTACTTTTTGGATTATCGTCTCTATCCGCTCTAAAAATATCAAACGTAGCTGTATTGCCTGGCCACTCGAAACTGCAAGTGTACGTTGTTGTTTTACGGAGATTGACACGAAACCTGAAATCAAAACTATCTAGAGGGTTGAGTCTTATTACCCCTAAATCATCTCCTTTGTTTGTACAATGTACAATCAACGTTGCACGTGTGACCAATTTGTTGATGATGATTACATGTTTAGATGAGAATGGTAAAAGTCCATCGGGGGACGAGTGATATGCTAATGATGCCGACGTTTTGAGGACAAAGAGAAATAAGAATAGCACGAAAATAAAAAATTGATTTGTTGAGGAAGCCATGGGTGTACGTGTTTTAGTTTGAGAATCTGTGAGATAATAATATTTGTTTGTTTGAGAAGCAGGAATTTATAGATGAAAATACATTAAATATAAATGTCTTCATTTTTTAAAATTCAAAAATATCGTAACGTAAAATACAATTACAAGCATAGTAAGTAATTTATATTTTATGGTTTCTAAATCTTATATTCTTTGGCAACAAAATGGTCAAATTTATGGAAATTTTTATTTTTTGCCTATAAAGCTCTGATTGTGTGGTGTCGTTTAATTAGCAGTATCCTCAAATTTGCTTATTTGAAGGTAATCATATAGTATATATAATTAAGCTTTCACTCTCACTCTATTGGTCTACTTCTCACTTTTATTTTAAAATCACATCTGATTCATATAATTATATTACTTCGCACAATCTAATTAATTTGTAACACCCTACCAAAAAAAATCTAATTAATTTGTAACATGTACGAAAATTTGAAGACTAAAAACTCAAAAACATATATTATTTGGTATTAAGTAACCAATTAAATCCCAAATATTAACATATGTAACGTATATAATACTAACTAAGTGCATGAATCACACTAAATAATCAAATTAATTCAAAACATGTTTGAGCTAGATCTACCTGAAACCACATTTTATTGATTTCTTTTCTAGCAACAAAACGTACGTCTTTTATCACTCTAAACCAGCTTGAAACAAATCGTGCACGATCACAATGTGTTTGTGTCTCACGATCACGCACGTGAGAAGCTAAACCATTAACTTGGTAAACCTTTTTTATAGTGGATTTTCTCCTAGTAGATAAATAGATAATATAGAATAAGAGTAAAATAAATGTTTTTTTTGCGGAAGGAGTAAAATATATGGTCCAACATAATAAAACCACGTTGGTAAATCAAAATAGCACTTTATCTCGATTTTAACAGCACCGCAACCTTGATGCAACCTTGATATCATCTCGAAGAGAATGATGGTTGTTGTCTTGTTGCTAGGGATGACAAAGAGAAAATAGTTTTTATAATGGATATTTTGGTTTTTCGTATTAGAAATTAGTTTTTTATAATCGATACTTTGATTATTCGTATGGAAATCTAATTTTGGTTATCCCTAGCAACAATATTTTGGTTAATCGTGTAGAAACCAAAAATATTGACACGAGACAAATATTCTGTACTAAATCACAAAACCACGTTGGAACATCTAACATAGCATTTTGAAATGATGTATTAGGCCTGGGCATAAAACCCGAAATCCGAAAACCGATCCGAAACCGATCCGAAAAATCTGGAACTGAACCCGAACCGAATAGTCACAAAATCCGAACGGATAATGAATTCTCCTATCCGAATTACCCGAACCGAATCCGATCCGAACCGAAAACCGAAAGGATATCCGAAAACCGGAAAGAAAAATTATATATCCAAAAATATTAGTTCTATTTAGTTGTAATTTTATAGCAAATAACAAAAATATCCTAAATATCCTAGATTCGGAAAAAATTTAGTTATATTTGTTAAAATTATACATATTTTTGCAAAATTTAATTAAATTTTAGTGAGATTAAACCAATTTTTATTAACATTGAACTATTTTTCAGTTTTTTTTTCCCAAAAACTGATCCGAATCCGACACCTATCCGAACCGAAACCGAACCGATGACTCATAAAATCCGAACGGATAATAAATTCTCCTACCCAAATAATCCGAATCCGAATATATCCGAACCGAAACCGAACCGAAAATTCATAAAATACGAACGGATAATAAACTCTCATACCCGAATTATCCGAATCCGAATATATCCGATCCGAATTCGATTTGAAATCCGAATGCCCAGGCCTATGATGTATTGCCGCTGGCATTTTTGTAAATGTTTTCGCATTATTGTAGTATTTATAATTTTTATACGAATATTCCAAAAAAAAAATTGTACATTTTAATGACCAAACAATTTTTGACGTGGCTAAAAATTAAAGGAGGCAAATCTTTTTATTCGTATAAAAAGAGAGATCAAAAAGAGCATGAAAAAGAGATAGCAAAAGCCCACTTTTTGCAATAACATGTGGCTCTCTCATCTCTTCATGTCCCTCTCTCAGCTGACGTGTAATTTCTCCATTTTCTCTGTCTTTATGGCTTGTGGCTCTGTGTGATCCATTATTAATTTAATACCAACCTCAGCCTCTTATACATACTCTTGTCTCAGACCTCAAATAAAGAATAAACACACAACCATAAATCTCAATTAATCTCTACTTCATCTTCTTTCTGTTTTATGTCTTCAAAGATTATTGGTATGTCTCAAGTTAGAGATACTCCGGTTAAGTTGTTTGGCTGGACAATTACACCGGTTTCTCATGATCCACACTCTTCTTCGTCCACTGTTCTTCCTGATTCTTCCTCGTCTTCCTCATCTTCTTCTCCATCACTTCGACCACACATGGTATGTTCCATGGTCTTACCTTTATTAGTTAAGAAATGCTAAAGATTGAATAATGTCTCTAGTCTTTTTATCAGTTTGAAACTAGTTCATGATGTTAATTCTAATCCAAGTTCCATAAAAAATTTCAGATGAACAATCAATCTGCTACTGACAATACAAGTCTTAAGATGTCATCTAATCTTAACAACGAGTCGAAAGAAACATCTGAGAACAGCGATGACCAACACAGCGAGATTACAACAATTACATCGGAAGAGAAAACAACTGAACTGAAGAAACCAGACAAGATTCTTCCGTGTCCGAGATGCAACAGCGCAGACACCAAATTCTGTTACTACAACAACTACAACGTTAACCAGCCACGTCACTTCTGTAGAAAATGTCAGAGGTATTGGACTGCTGGTGGATCCATGAGGACCGTCCCAGTAGGCTCAGGCCGTCGCAAGAACAAGGGATGGGTTTCTTCAGACCAGTACATGCACATAACTTCCGAGGATACTGACAATTACAATAGCTCCTCAACGAAGATTCTAAGCTTCGAGTCTTCGGACTCTTTGCTTACTGAGAACACTAAGCATCAATCAAGCAATGTGAAGAAAAACGGCGATTCTGTTTCACAAGAACTCAACAACTTCCAAGGGTTTCTTCCTCCGCAAGGATACCCTGTTTCGCCCCCTTGGCCTTGCCAATACCCTCCAAACCCTAGTTTCTACCACATGCCCGTCTACTGGGGCTGTGCGGTACCGGTTTGGTCTACCCTAGGCACTTCTACATGTCTTGGGAAAAGGACAAGAGACGAAGCTGAAGCTTCGCATGAAAGTGTTAAAGAGAGCAAAAATGCTTTTGTGAGAACAAGCTTGGTTTTGGAATCTCGGAGTATCAAAAATGAAACAAGTACGGCTACAAATAACCATGTGTGGTATCCGGTACCGATGACCCGCGAGAAGACAGAGCAATTCAGCTTTTTCAGTAATGGAGCTGAAACAAAGAGCAACAACCAGAGATTCGTCCCTGAAACGTATCTTAACCTGCAAGCAAACCCAGCAGCCATGGCAAGATCTATGAACTTCAGAGAGAGCATATAACGTTAAGGAGATACTAATATAGAATAATTGTACGTATCTTAATTCAAGAAGCGTTCTCTGTATATTGATTGTTACCTAGTAGAAGAAGAAAAAACTTTGTAGATATCTTTTTGTGTGATGAAATTGTAGACAACTTTTCAATCTATCTTATTTATATACCACAATCCCCATTTTGTTCATTATCCTAACGCATGGATAAGCTGAGTTTTAATGTCTTTTTGGTTAGTGTGACTCGAAAATATTGTTTATCCCATTAATTATAGTGCTAGTGTATAAATTAATTTGGAAAAAAAAATTAAGAAAATATGAGTGTGAATTTTCATGTAAAGGAGAACAAATAGAGGATCTTAACTTTCAGTTCTTGGTACAGAACCCATCTGATTGGCACAAACGAAAAGCTAAAGGAGAAGCATACAAGTCTCTTTCTTTGAAAAGTAAAATATGTCTCTTCATTTGCGTATAAAGGGAAACAAAAAGAAGAAAACACTTTCAGCATTTTTCTTTTTCTCTCTTTAAGCACTTTACTTTGGAAGAATTACTAAAATGAATGGAAAAATGTTACTTATTACTTATTAGAATTTTTTATCTTTATGTGTTGCAAGGCGGAGTTATTCGAAAATCACTAAACACTAGGATGTTTGTTCGACCAAAAAAGAGAGACTAGAGAACACCTCCGAAAGAGATTGGGCCTAATGAAGCAATTTCAGGCCCAATGGGCAAATTGAAAGAAATTCAAGAACAACGTTAAACGTTCATATGTCACGAATTGAAATGAACATTGTCCCTGTTTTGGTGAGGGAACAATAGCAAATCGTACGTACCGTTTTTGCTTACTCTCGGTCTTGTGTCTTAAGTTAATAGTAAAACACAAACTCAAGAGACTTCTAAAGAAGAAAAGTTAGCGTGGTATTTCAATCTCCACATCGGACTTTCTTATACTAGTTATCGACCGAGTCTTCTCTATAACAACCTTTTCAAAACCCGAAAACCCCTACATTTATCAACGTCATAGATTTTAAAAACTCATATCCAAAATCAAAACTAATTTCAACACAAAATAACAAATTAATTTAAAATTTTCTTTTATATCTACAACATGAAAAGAAACAAAAAAGAAGGGCATGTGTGGGTCCGCGTGACATGAGAGAGATACATAGGTAAGAAGCTTGAAGAGTTGGAAAAACGGTTTGAAGAGAAGAAACAAATGCAATGTGTGTGTGAGATTTGGTGAGCATGTTTCATGTTTGGCCTTTCTGTTGCACAATCTCTGCCTCAATCTTTGGCAGTTCCTCTTCTCTTAATTACGCATCTTCGTCTCTTTCTCCAACTCTTAAAAACTCCACTCTTTTAATATCCCTTCTCTCTCTCTCGTTGTTATTCTCATCACATCTTTAGCAATATTTCACGTCACTTCATCATAAAAGAATCACCTTTTTTAAAACAATCTCTCGAGCTAAATATTTATGGAGGTACTAAAAACAATAACTTATCAAATGTTACACTAGACAGCCAAGTGCCAACAACAACAATCTACAGTTTAGTAATTAACGTAAACACAAGGACAATGGCTTGGATCTTGGTTTGTTTTGTTTTCTAGCTACTAAAGCTAACTGCTAATTTCTTTTTGTAACCAAATTTAACCACTGTCATTAACTTATTAACACCAATTTGTTCAAGATTCACGCAGTCCCCAAGCCAAGAAAATCGAAAAAATGTGGTTGCTGCTTAGCCTTCTCGACCACCTCCTCATCTACCGCTTCCATTCCGATCAAATGCATTGCTTCATTTGGTTCCGCTTTCTCTTGGCTCCTAGGGTCAATGTACGGAAAATTGCATAACGCGTCTGACGTGTCACCTACATTATCGCCGACCATCATTTGGTTGCCAAACATACTCACAACCATCGGAGGTTCATTGCTCTCATAACCTAAACGTTATAGATACACGAAAAAAAAATCAAAACATGCTAAAAATAACTAAACATACTAATGAAAAGGAGGAAGATCAATAGACTACCTTGAAAGCAATGGAAAGGCAAAACAAGCTGGTTATGGTCACTCGTGATAGGGGCATTATTAACCAGGTGATGAGTCAAATTAAACTCGGGGAAAGGCTGAGCGAAGTAATGATTAGTGGAGATAAAAGAGTGGTAATTAGGGTTAGGGTTAGGATGATGATTATCAGTGAGATGAGGTTTAAGTGGATTATTACTCATAAGCTTCCTCCTACGATAAGCAGAAGAGTGTTCTCTATACTTACGAGCCATGACAACATGCCAATGGTTCTTGACAGAATTATCAGTTCTTCCAGGGAAAAGCCTCGCAATCATTGCCCATTTGTTACCATAAAGCCTATGTGCTTGCATCAGCCTCTCCTCTTCTTCCTCCGTGAAAGCTCTTCGGTTTATCCTCGGGTCCAATTGGTTAAACCATCGTAGTCTACAGCTTTTTCCTTTAAAAAACAATCAAGATTTAGGTTAATAAAACTCACATCTTCGACTTTATGACTCAGATTGGACATAGAAGGCTAAAGACCAAGAAAAGTAAAAAACATTTAAAATTTTTTTATTTCACCGGATCTTAATAACTTTGACTGACCCAGAAGAATCAAACACATTGTTTTTGATGAAATTTTGAAGATCTATTAAAAAAATTTGATTTATATTACCAGATCTTCCTTGAAGCTTTTCAGCTATGAGGTTCCAGTTTTGTGGGCCGTAAATGGAGACAAGCTCTTTGAGTTTAACATCTTCAGCTGGTCTCCAATGTCCTCTCCCCAAGACTGACGGTTTTGAAGATGAAGAAGACCAAGACTGACCACTATCTGTTGTCTCCTTCTTACCACTCTCGCTGTTACTGAAATTAGGGTTATGATTATTACTCTCTTCTTCGTTAGCCGCTACATCTCCAGAAGGGCTCTTCAAGATTTCAAACTCATGACTTGTGTTGCAATGACGACGATGAATGTTATTGTCGTTGAAAGGGAAATCCCAAGAAGAAGAAGCTCTTCTTGCGGCGATCTCATCCATCCACACTTGTTTTTCCGTTATAAACATGGAGTTAGTGTTGGGAGAGAGGAAGAAGGAGAAGAGAAGAGAAGTGTAATTGAGATTTGAGAGAGAGATGTCACGTCAGCTTTTAGACTATTACCATCGGAGGAGAAAGACTTATGTGAGTGCATTTGCATATTATATATATATACGTACGTAAATGTGTGTCATAAATATATTTGTTTTTAAATAATAGAATATCTTTTATATATAATGGTGTGTTTGTTACGTATGGCTTTAGGTATGTGCGTGTATGTACATGTCGCGACCGTGTTTTCTGACGACTGTTAAAAAGGGTTATGGACCGTCGTCACGGACTAATTCAAACGCCAGAGTTCTTTGCATTATACATTATTATATGTACCACTGCAATAAGTAAGTACAAATGTGTATTATCAATATTCGATTTTTTTTTATTTTTTTGATATTCGATTTTGCCGTGGACTGTTATAAACTTTGTTCAGGTGTACCTAGTTTCTCTGATAAATCATTTATTAAATTTCAAAAATATATGAAAACAAAATTTTACTCCATGTCCGTAGATTGATAATAATTAAGAAGTAGGACTTAATAATCAGTTCAAAATATTATATTATTAAGGTTAATGAGGCAATAGTTTTATAATCATATTAGTGTTCCTAATCAAATGATAACCTTAATTAGGCAGCAACTCTATGGTCCCTTATACAAATTTCCCACTTGTATATGAATATTTAATTTGTATCTTTATTTGATGTTAAGATGAAATGATATGATTATTGTCGTTGAAATGAATATTTAATTTGTATCTTTATTTGATGTTAATGTGGCGATTGTCGACCAAAGAAACAATGAATGTCGTGAATATCTTGGACGAGTCCAAAATGAATCCTACCGTTATTAGGTGAAATTTATCCTCTATTAATCAATGCATGTTTTATAGGTGCAAAGTGAAAAATAATAAAAGCTAATGAGATGAAAGAAAAAAAGCTGAAGCAGAACTAACTACCAAAAAAGGATGAAGGCAAAAAGAGAGTTTACCATTGGGGAATGAGTCGTGTCTCTTCTTAGCACAACCAATTCTCGGACAGTTTTTTACTTTCCTTTCATTTTTGGGTTCCTTAAAATTTAACCCTTTTTCCCTCTTAATCTCCACTTGTCTTTCTTTCCTTTACTTTTTTACTAGTACCATTTTGTTTCTGTGAAACCCTCTCTTATCTTAAAATTTTAACCTCAATCTTTTTTCTTAATTAACCATCGCTTCACAGTTGTTGGTGTATTAAATAATCCTGAATTTTCATACACATCGTTGTTGTTTTAACTATTTTAATCTTTTTTGGCAGTCTCATGGATTTTAATAATCCCTTCAAATAACCGGACATTACAAAGCTACTTTATGAAAACTCTCAACCCTAAATGCATGATTATCCATAGTGTCTTAGAAATAAATCTTAAGAATATTTAAGTAATATATTTGTAAAATATGGATCTTAACTACTCCCTCCGTTTCGTTTTAGTTGTCGTTTAAGGTTTTTGCACACAAATTAAGAAAAACATTAAATTTTCTGTTTTACCCTTTATTAATATATTTTATAAAAAAATTCATTGGTCAAAACATTAAAACAGTAGGGATAAAACTGGAATTTTCACCAAACATTTGCATTGAAAACCTAAAACGACAACTATTATGAAACAAAATTTAAATTCTAAAACGACAACTAAATTGAAACAGAGGGAGTATGTTTTTGTTGCTTAGCTAAGAACCTCTCTTAACAATAATGGCTTAATTGAGATTTAATTTTAATCATTTATTGCTAAGATCCAGCTTAAAATTTTCTTAAAAACCTTCCATTAATCATGGTCTAAGTATCCCACATATATGAGGAATGTGGCCGTGTGGATGTGTGTATAAGTAATGAGCATGAACAGAAAAAAAAAAAAACAAAAAAAATGAGCATGAACAGTTTAAAAAGTAAATAAATAATCTGTTAAGACCTTTTCGTATTTGACCAGAAACCCCCAATTGGCAGACGTAACCATTAAATATGGGATAAATATTATCAGATTCAAAAGGGTCTCTGCAGCTGTATGATACTCTGCACAGAGATTTAACCGAACGCACTACGAACTCTCTTTTCTCTTCGTCAGATTTAACTCTCTTTTCTCTTCGGCATTTGTGGATTTTGCCCTTTTTTTTTAATAGTTTGTGCATTTTATCCTTTTTCATACTCCAAAAATATGATTTAACATGCGTTTCACTCGTTATGTTTGGGTTTAGTCGGTTCCATTTGTTCTTAGGATTTAGTATTTGGTATAAAGTACGTATTTTTGGAAAAAAAAATCCTAAATACGTATATTTTTAAGTATTTGAAAAAGGGCAAACTCCGTAAACTATTTAAAAAAGGACATTTTCATAAATTTTTCCAAAAAAGGGCATTTTAGACAATAATCTCTATCATATATGAAATATTTAATTATCTTTTTACAGTTTTAAATCTATAAATGTAGCGGTGAAATAAAATATGGTGAAACACACTAATATGTTTGTATGTAATTAAGAAAACTTAACAACCCAACCGACAAGAGCCACACTAAGCTAAGGTGGGGGCTACCGGACTTGCTTCTACTTTTGTTACCTTGTTAATAATCTAGTAGACTAGTACTAGATTTTCGATTGAACCGATTCATTCCTTACCGCTTGATCGAGTGTGGCTTGTTGTAGTGAGTGAATAACTGAATAATTAAGCAACTACATCATTCTGGAAATAGATGTATTTAAAGCTCATATAGTTGCTTAGCTTGCAGTTTCGGGTGGATATAATAGTCTATGGTCCATGCGTGACTCTGTCCAAAGTTGATTCCAACCTTGAACATATATACCCATCTTCCACATAGCATTAAAAGTTTTTTCAGTTTGCCACAAAAATACATCAAATGTGTAATAAAGAATCACTAAACCGTTGGAATTAATCCAAAGCTCAAGTTTACTCGTCTGACATATTCTAAAATTTTTACTTTCCCGACCATTCGGAACTCTTTATTTCCGTCTACAAATTAATGTTCTCAACCTTAGTTATTCATGGGTGAACTATTTAGGTGTTACAATGCCCCCTTGTTACAATGCTCAGGTATGTGTTTACTCCTATTTATCAAAGACTCTTTTTTGACGTTACATCCAGGTGTCTATTATGTGATTAGTTATCTTAGACTAAAATAAATAAAAACAAAGGTATAAACTTATTTACATTGAGTCTTAGAAGATTTAAATCCGTTTTAATTTAAAGAATAAGGACTGGTAATAGCTTTTGCCTAAAATAAATATGGGTAATGATAATGAAAGGTGGAGATGATGAACACGTGCACATTAAGAGTAACATAGGATCCAATTCAATTCAAAGGAGAAGTCTTTTCTCTTCAACTGTGATGCGTCCCCATGGTCCGATTTTGGCGTGTGATGTCGCACAAACATCACGTGTATTCTCCTTATTGTACTACACCCACGCACGATCACAATAAATCTATCGAACAATCACAAACACTTAGGGAATATACTTGCTTAGAAAAGAGAAAACTATAGAACAAAACAAAATCGAACTAATTTGGGTTTTGCCTATGTTAAGTTCGTAAAGTATCTAGTCTGATATAAAACGACAAGAATAAGTGTACAATTTTATGTTTGACAAAAAAAAAAAAAAAAAAGTGTACAATTTTATGTTTGACAAAAAAAAAAAAAAAAAAGTGTACAATTTTATAAGTAATAGGATTACATCACCAAAATATGTATGTCATTCAATGGATTTTTGAGATGCTAGCTATAAATAAATTAGCTATGGATATGCATTTCATTTCACCCATGAGTTTAGTTATAAATATTAACTTGTCAGTTATTTCAAATAATTTCAAATGCTAATCAATCACGTTATTTTGTGAACAACAAAAGTGATTTACTTTATTTAATTATATCAAACAAAAATTTAATCATCCTACCTACGACTAGATTTTTCAACTATTAAGATAACTAATTTTTTAAAAAAATTTGGTTGTTTACAAATAGAGACTCTATAACTACTTTTGAATTTACAATTCTTTCATATAACATATTTTTTTCAAACAAAAAAAAAATTAATATATAAATTAATATAACTAAAAATAAGAAGTATTAATATTGTTTCTGTACGTGCTTTTGCGAAAATTCAAAGTATTTAACCAATAATCAGTTCAATAGGATTAGGTCTGATTTGGTTTGAGTGTAAAGAGATTTTTGTAGTAATTAATGCAACAAGGTGCCGATTTGGTGATTAAAAAAGAGGAGAAACTAGTGAGGAAACAGAAGTGAACAAGAAAGTGAAAGAAAGTGAGAGTAATGAAAGGAAGTGGAGAGACAGAGAGGATAAATGGTGGGAACAGATCACGAAGACACACACAAACTCATACTGTTTTTGGAGTTTCCAAAAAGAGATGACGTGAAAGGTAACCAAACAGTAAAGTCTATCTCTCTCAATTTTCAAAGATGAATGAATCAATGACCCATCTAATCTCATAGCCTCCTTTGCCCCTATATCTATATTCACATCCACCAATAAAGTTTGTCTTAAATTCTACCCTCTTTTCTTAACCTCATTCGTATTTTTGGTTACAATCACACTACTTCTTTGTTTCTATAACCGGACTTAGTTCTCCAAAAATCTTAACTTAACCGGTCCCTTCAACCAATTCATGTGTTATGTGGTTTTCATGTATATATGTTAGTTAGCCCGACAAATGATTTATTAGTTACTCTTCCATAACAATATATTAAAACTTTCATGTGTTTGGTATGTGGGTTTTCATGTATATATGTTAGTTAGCCCGACAAATGATTTATTAGTTACTCTTCCATAACAATATATTAAAACTTTCATGTGTTTAACGTCAAACATTTTCTAAACTTTACCACAAAAGAAGACAGTGAATAATATTTAATATTTTGGTCAATAGTCGGTTCGAAACAATTTTATATGAAAGTGGGGAATACGACCCGACCTGAGATCATGCCTATAAAACAAGGCCCTGTTGAACTTGGTACGAAATTTTCTGTGTGTATATATTTTCAAATTACATGGAAGGACAATAATGAAGAAAACATTGAAGGTGAAAATAAAATTTTAAAAGTTAATTTATTTTTTAAAGAATAAAAACGAAGGAATGTGACAAGTAGTGGGGCGTAAGGGAGCAGCAGAAGACAAAGGCTAATCCATGAGATTCTGTTAGGTGTGTTCCCTTGACAGAGCCATCTTATGAATCCCTTTCATTTCTCCTCTAATTAAAATTCATAACCCTACCAATTAATTTCGACACAACTCATGGGTTCGTCTAAATTTGTCTTCAATTTTTTGTCTGAGCGGTTTCATTTTGAAGTTGAGAAACTTAAATGTTAATGAATAGTTATGGCGGTATTTGAAACAATAGTTATCCAGTTTTATTTTTTTGCTTGAATAATTTTATTTTCGTTATTAGAGTAGTGGAATATATTCTGTCACCGCAACAAGATTACGTAATCAGTTGGAAAAACAGAGACTTACGTAATCAAAAGTTATATTCTAGATATCGAATATTCATTATTGTGTCAACACGGAATGAAATTAAAACCTCAGTTCAAATTGGTCTTCTTTGTCAAGGTATCTTTTCAAGTGTCATATTGATTTCTTCTGAATAAAAAGGTCAATCCTCAATGTGGATTTACGAGGTAATGCCAGAAATCCAATATTACATGGTTAATACGCCTCTTTAAGTCCACAACTATGGATTTAAGCAAAAGCAAAGTCATGTCAATGTGCTTTGGAAAACTTAAGGATTTTGCGATGGAATCATAGAAAACTATCGAAAATTTATCGTTGAAATGCATTATAATCAAATTTTATTGCGCAAAATTATAATATTTTATTATTATTTTTTTGTTTCCCTTAAATATGTAATTTTTTAATACCAAATTTAATTGATAGTACAATATGAAGCGTTTGGTGTTTCAAACGGCTATTGGAGACTAATTGTTCGGAGTGAAGTTATAGTACACAAGAAAAGCATGGAAAGTTCCCGTAGAAAAGAAGCTATATATTGGAACCGAGAAGGCTAAATAATTGAAAGTATTATACATAAAATATATATGAAGATGTTTTAACGATGGAAGAGTCTTCTAACGATCATGGTTTCTAGTATTGTGCCAAACGGTCTTGTAGCTTTTAATTAGAGATGTAATGGCGTACAAATATACGTACACATGAGTTCTCATGTTTCATGATAACATATAATAGTAATGTTAGATTGGTGATGCATGTCGTATGGGTATGGAGGCTGTGTCTTAACCGAAGTCCGTTAAGAGTGTCGCAATTAAAGGAATTAAAGAAAAAGGACAAAAAAGTACTCTTTGCATGATAATATTTGTTAAATCTCTGAAAAGTAATGGGTGTAAGTATGGGTAAGATGTCAGAAACCTAATGCAAAGACCCACTTCTTATTGTTTAAAGGACACTTACCTGCCCCACCCTCACATGCTTTAATGCTCCGATCCCTTCTTCTTCGATCTGTTCAACGCAAGGAAACATAATCTAACACGAATTGGCTAAGGTTCGCATTATCATATGTCTATAATAAATAACTCATCAACGTCCATAACAACCTAATCTAACTAACAAATTAAAGTATGTATCTCTCCGTTATCTACTTTCATGCATAGTCCTATAAATGTATCATATATGCATCGTCGAGTTTCACCAAGCAAAGAACTTTTAAATGTGGAGCCACGACAATGTGTATTAGTTTAGGGGCACATTTTGTAAAGATTTTTTAATTTGTTTACAAGTGATCCGTTTGAGTCATTAGTAGTCACTTTGTTTTGTATATATCAAATCTTGTTTAATAGAGCCACATATACGTTGTGACTGGTTTTGCAAATATATATACATTCTTTTGTAGTCTTTTACCAAAGTCAAAGATTTCTCTATATCTAAATTTCACTCTGAACAACTAGTCTACCGGCAACAACATTGTTTGAACTTCGAAATTCATTTTGTGCGTTGTCCTTTAATACATATGGGACCACCGTGATTTAAAGTCCATAACAAACTAGTTGAGTACGTACGTATAGAATATTAACACTAAAACCAAAAAAAGAAACCAAGCAATTGGAAAAAGGTCACTTTAAGTAAGGATCTAAAAAAGTGAAAGAAATGGAGACAAAACAATAGTTGTATAGAGAGAGAGAGTAGTGGTGAAATTGGTGATGTGTGTCACAGCTCAGCAACTATAACGCTCGCAATAAGCAAGCTGAACCTTAGCAGCGAAATTGGCAGATCCAAATCGAGAGGTAATAGCTAGGCAAGGAGAGAGGTCTAGTTTGTAGCTAAGCTGACCCCCTGATGGATCCAGAGGGTATGGATGATTCAGTATTTGAAGGACAGGTGATGCTACAGCCATCTATGACATTAGAGCTGTACGTACCCAAAGAGCTTCGAACAGTAAATCCCATCAGATCTTAGTCATGGAATCAAGCCTAATTCAATGCCCTTTTTCGCAAAATCCAATAATTAATGCACCAATGCTCATGATGGACCTAAATGACCTATTTAATTTAATTTTTAAAAAGGGTCCTAGATGTATAAATAAACAAGACATAAGTAATGTTCAAACTTCAAAGTCAAAGTCAGACTCAGATTTGTCCAAGTGGTAAACGCGACTGGATGTGACGGGTTTGGTAAACTGTAGTTATTGATAGGGTTTATATTGATCACATTCATCAAATGGCAATATCCATGAAAAAAATTGATTCAAAAAAAAAACAATAATGCGAATCTTGAATATTTCATTATCTAGACGTGGACTTAACAGTATGAATATTCGATTCAGAAAAATTTGAAAACAAACTCTCAGCATTTTTTGTATTATACACAAAAATGTAACAACAATGATTTTGACGTACCTGTCTGAGACATTCATCCCTTCAGGAAATTTTCATTGTTTTCATAAAACTGTTAGCTTTTTGTATAAAAGAAAAAAAGCAATCACAAAAACTATTAGCTTATGGTGCACACTGTACTACACTATTCGTGACTAACAAATTGAATTAACTCAATTATACTCTCTCTCTTTCGTTTTAGTTGTCGTTTAAGGTTTTTTCACACAAATTAAAAAAACATTTAATTTTTTTGTTTTACCCTTTATTAATATATTTTATAAAAAATTTTATTAGCCAAAACATTAAAACAGTAGAGATAAAACTGGAATTTTCACCAAACATTTGCACTGAAACCTAAAACGACAACTATTATGAAACAAAATTTAAATCCTAAAACGACAACTAAACTGAAACAGAGAGAGTATTATTTAAAATATAACATTGTTTCGTTGTATTGGGAAGCTGCACATTCAAAAGAACTATTCACAACTGTTCATGGCATACACTTCATAGTTCATAACTCCTTTCTTGGGAAAATCTAGATATCCTACTCCCAAGCATTTAACCCATCTTGATCTCTTTATCAATATTGATTCATCATTTCCATTTTTGTGTTGTTATTCTTTGTGATTAAATTATTTCTAAATTATACCTTCTCCTAATCTCTTTGGTTCAACCAATTAATTATAACGAGTTATTCGGATTAATTGGAATTTGACTTCCAATACAACTTTTCTTTGGGAATTAAAGATTTACACATCTTTATACATTAGCACGTGTACCTTTTAAACTTGATTGAAATTGTAAATCAAAAGCCAAATCTTTCTATAAAATCTAAACACACGACCTTAATATTTTAGTAGAGACTCAATATATATAAAAAAAGGAAAAAACTATGAAAATAGAAAGCAAAGCAGATAATGAAAAGGTACTGTACACGTGCGAGAGTGACCATCAAGAGGCTTTTGTAGATTTTGGTAAGAAGAAAGAAGAAAGAAGAAAGAAGGTCCACGGTTTATTGTCTTGTTGTAGATTTTTCTAAAATGGGCTTTGGCCCAACTACATCTTGGGTCTTTGTTAATGTAATGGAATGGGTTTCCAAAATTTTGAATTTATTTTGTCCCAACATATCAATGTCTATAAGCAACCAATTTGCAACTTTAGAAAAATGTGATGAAAGAAATAAATAGAAGATTCATATTTTCACCAGCAACAAACAATTTTGCTGATATTGTTTTAACTAATCTCAAGGAACATGATATAAAATTTCTTTCAATTATTATTTATGTTCACGGCCGCAAAAAATAACTAAGAATAGATTTAAACGAAAAATGAAAATATAATCAATCATGTTTAGAATTAATTTAGTAATTAAATTTCACTTGTTATAACAATTAATATGTGTTTGTACTATTTCGAGCCACAAAATTTAAAAGAAATGCCGAGTTACCGTTCAATGATTCCGTTAGAGCATAACTAGAAGTTTTATCCTTTTTAAGAGTGCTCATATAGGAAAGAGAGACTAGTAATGCAGTTTAAGTTTTTCATCTAGAAGTCGGTTTACATGTGCCTAAATGTTTTAGTCGTATTTATCTGAAACTTCTGATTCGGTTGCCTACCAAATTGTCATCGTGTGAAAGTGTCTTTGGTGTTAAATGCATCTTCACTCGAAGGTTAATGTTGTGTATGTACATCCGCTTTGGACATTTTTTAAATCTAGAAGTCTTATATTTTACAGGAAGTTCCCGTTGGTGCCCTATCATAGGAGTAGGCATTTTAACCAAACCATATAATCTTGATTCTATGTGCATTATCGTTTGGTTATGCACACATAATCTTCAGTTTTTTTTTTTTTTTATATAAAAATAATTTCTTATATTTATTGGTCTTGCTTTCCTTCTAATCAACTATTTTGTTGGTTTACCATACGTTGATCGGTCGATACGTTGATTTTATCAAAAGATATATGATGAAGATGAAGATCAAAAAGAGAAGAACTAAAGAACTGAATTGAAACAAATTGAACTAAAACCATTAATGCCATTGTGAATAACCTACAAGTCTACAACGGGAAAAGGGGATTTTCATACCCGTACTATTGGGACCGTGGATTTTTATACCTCGACATTTTTGTAGTGTATTTTCCAACCCAAACTGAAATAAAATTTGAATTTCATACCTGTATTTGATAAATCGTGCAAAAAACGAAGTCAATCTAACGGGTGTTAGTCAACTCTGTTACGATGCTGAGTCATCGTACACGTGTACGCTGACGTGTATCCCATACGACGTCGTTTTAATAATTGTTCTCAAAAGTTTAATTTTTTTGCAAAATTGGGGATTCGAACCCGTGTCCCTTGGCCACACATCAAGCACCTTTACCAACTCATCCCACAACTCTAATCGAACATTCTCCAATCATTTTAATTTATAAACCTTAATAGTTGTGTGTTTGGAAATAAACCAAACGACGTCGTTTTCAATAACTCTTCTTGGGTTCGTTTCTTCCTCAATGCTAACAAAAGTCTGTCCTTTCGCTTCTCGCGGATTAAGTCTCTTGCAGCTTGCTTTTCGGCTTCAATTACTTTCTCAAGCTAAATTAGCAAAATTTGAGAAGATGGGTTAACAAAGAGATGAGCCAAAGAAGTCAAAAGCTGGGGTTTATTTTCATCAGTACCAACAAACAATAAAAAAAAACATTAAAAACAAATCAAAACCATCCATTGAACAACAATCCACTTTAAGATATCACCAATTAGGATATTTTGATGTATAAAAACTAATAATCCACTCGATCTCAGATTCCAAAAAAGAAAAACCTTTTGCTGATATTGACCAAGCTTGCGTCTTTGGGTTTTGAGAGAGAGAATCACTCGATCAACCTCCGTGATCTGAGGTTTCTTCAGGAACAAATTTCCCATATTTTCTTCACTTTATCGACTCCAAAAATTAAGATAATCAAACAATTCGACAAGCAGAAATAGCAAGATCGAGACCAAATCGAATAAGTTTCTAGATTTCCGAAAAATGTTGGTCGTCAATTTCAAACCAAGTCCCCAATTCGTCGTTTGGTTTATTTCCAAACACACAACTATTAAGGTTTATAAATTAAAATGATTGGGGAATGTTCGATTAGCGTTGTGGGATGAATTGGTAAAGGTGCTCGATGTGTGGCCAAGGGTCACGGGTTCGAATCCCTGATTTTGCAAAAAAATTAAACTTTTGAGAACAATTATTAAAACGACGTCGTATGGGATACACGTCAGCGTACACGTGTACGATGACTCAGCATCGTAACGGAGTTGACTAACACCCGTTAGATTGACTTCGTTTTTTGCACGATTTATCAAATACAGGTATAAAATTCAAATTTTATTTCAGTTTGGGTTAGAAAATACACTACAAAAATGTCGAGGTATAAAAATCCACGGTCCCAATAGTACGGATATGAAAATCCCTTTTTCTCGGTCTACAACCATTAAGATAATGTCAAGTCACATTAATGCCATTAGGCTTATTTATAATGGGATTCAAATTGGCCCAAATCTTCCCGTATGTTTTTCTTCTAGCCGCCGGTGTTTGCATGTGTCGGTTCATATGAGCCACGTTGAAGCAAAATCCATCAGAGTGGGACCCATTTTTACTTTAGTCGATAGCCACCACATGGACGTTACTTCTTGTGGATCACTTTTGTACGTCATCAATTTATGCTTATCGACCTTCCACTTAGATAATGTCGTGAAACAAAAACACATGTAATTTTGTTTCAATATCCGTAACTGCTAAATACTTAGAATCTAAATTCACCGCATGATAATAATATCTCCCTTTCCTCTACTTGCACATACATCCATCGTCAAATCTGAAATTAGTATATAACGATGATAACGAAACCAACGAGACATTATCGTTATGTGGTTATGGTGTCTAATCTCAAAGATAGCAATCACCTAACCTTAAATTAGGCTGGTTGTTGGATATAGTCATGAGGTTTTGGTCTTTTGGACCACAAGGACCGTCTATAGAAGATTTTGGAAACTATTAAAAGATGTTTCATTTAAGTTGTTAACTTTTGCTTCAATATAGTATATTGAATGTTTATAAAGGGGAAAAACATTGAAGGATGAGATTGTGAACGTCGGTTGTTGAGTTTTGCATTGCTTTGTGTAAATGCTCATAAAGTGGGGAAACTTTGAAGCATGAGATTGTGAACGTCGGTTGTAGTCGATAATGATAAATATTTCGAATTCAAAAGCTAGATCGAAATGATCATTCAGAGGAATCTCATGAAAAGAAAAAAAATGACAAAATTTATAAAATAGTCAATAATGGTTGTAAATTTGGTATGTGAATATAAAAACTGAAAAGATGAAACAAGTGACCAATCCCCTAATTTTCATTAACTTAAGAAAAAGAATAGTATTATTACAAACAAAAATAATGAGTTTTCTTTATCTCATAACATAACATTAAGAAAAAGAGTAGTATTATTACAAACAAATATAATGAGTTTTCTTTATCTCATAACATAACATCACCACAATAATAATAAAATTGACAATCCTCATAATCCATCTCTATCTCTCACACCTTGAAATAACTCATTACTACTACTAGCGGGTGGTAGTTACTTAAAACTCCACCTCTGCATCAGTAAGACATTACTATAAAAAAATTTCTTTCTTAACAAAAACTACTTTTAAGAAAGAAATATAAAGAGGTCCAAAAAAAAGATTAGACATCATCAAGGCCTTCTGCAAAACCGAGCCCTCGACGCATCACTCTCTCAATAACCGAGTTTTTTCAAGAGACCAATTTACTAATAATTACCACACAAATGAGTTTACTTTAGATAAATGGAAGAGAGAATGACCAGATTGCCCTTTTCAGCGGAACTGTCCACCGGCAAAAGTCTGGCCGTATGACCAGCCGGCAGGAGCGGCGTTGTAGGAGACAACTGTGCGGCCGTCGCTGGTGGTGACCTTAAAGGAAAGTGCTTGACCGTTGAGGTAAGAGTTGCTTTGCCAATTTTGTCCCCAGTTCCTTGACATAGCTTGCCAACCTGTTCTTGAACCCTTGATCGCCGCCGAGTGAACATCTCCGGCACCACCGACGTTTGTGATCAGCACAAGGTTGAAGTATGAGTGGCCGTTTATCGTGAATCTTATTCCTCCTCTTCTCCTGCATGGTACCCTATAAAACACCAAAGTATCGAAAAGTTTATATTTTGGATATTTTTTTTCAAGAACTCATTGTTAAACTTAGCATATACTCTGTTTTGGGGAAAAAAACAGAGCATCTAAAGAAATTTGATATCCTCTGTTTTAAAACAGAGAAGATTAATAAATGTTACCTCCTGTAGGAAACAGGGACGATTCCAGCTCTGTACTGAGCAATGCGTTGAAAAACAGGCTGAGCAAGGTCAAAGTGTTCAAGAGGAGGATTACACCAACCGCCATTATTGTTCGCTAACGCGTTATTTGGCGGACAGAAGTTTGTAGCGGTTACAACGATTGAGCCAGGTAAACACCATTTACCATCGTTTTCACATCTTATCTCAAAGCAAGAACCACAACTAAGTCCGTTGTTGAACAAAGCCGTGCTCAAAGCCGCCGTGCTCGTCCCGTAGCCTTGGCTATATAGGTTACCATATCCACAAGCACCACCTACAAAGAAGTAACGTTGAAGATTAGTAAATTTGATAATTGGTAAGAAAAGGGTTTTGTAAGTAAGGATTTTTACCCATTGTGCCGGAAGCATCGCCTCCACCGTAGAAAGTGGCGTGAGCGTTGATCCAACCGCCACCGCCACCGTAGCCGGTCACAGAAGAAGCCATTACTCCTACCATAACCATAACTAAGAATCCAAGATGACACATGTTTACCTCTTGTGTTAACAACCTGCAAATGGGTGATATAAAGTCTATTACTTTTAGCTCAAGTAAATGTGTATTAGAGAAATAAAGGAGAAACAATTGAATGTAGGTGAAGAAAGTAGTTACTTGGATTTGGAGATCTTCTTCTTTCCTTCAAGAAAAAAGAAAAAAAGAGAGATATGTGAAAATCTGTTGTTGGGTTTTAGAGTGGGAGGTGAGTGGTTGAATTTATAGAAATCTTTAGTTAGAGGAAGTTGGCTTCAATTTACCATTATGCCACTGATGGTGGCAACTAACTTGGACTTCTTTAATAATAACCAAGCTTTATTTTCTTCAAGGTCAAGATAAATAAAAACTTGTTTTCAACAAACATTTTTGTTGTTTATTAAATGAGGTGTTATTTTCATTTTAATATTACAATATAGTATATAATTTGATTTTAGATTTTCTTTTTGCTGGGAACAAATAAATTGATTGGCATTAATATTGGCAAGAAAAAACCGAAAAGCAAAGAGACAAATGCACATGTGCGCTACGAAACGGGTCATGCGTCCTCATAGCCTCTTGTGTTAGGATCTCTTGTTGTTTTTTTTTTTTTTCGAGGCGCCTACAAAGAAAGGTATAAATTATTACTGTAGTAATGTGTTGTGTGGGGTTTTATAATTATTCACAATGATATAAAAAAATTTCATTCCATTTATACGCCATTAGGATTAATAATCTGCTAAAATTGAATATTAAAATTTTGTTTTAATGAGTTTCAAAATTAGAACTCGCCAACTTTTGACTAAGAGTGCAAATGGTTGTTTACGAAAAAATTTGTTTGCGGATTAGATCATTTTTTATTTATTATTCATAAATTTTATTTTTTAATAATATAGATCGAAAAAAATAAAAGAAATCCGTTGCGGACCAACCACATACCGTTTTTACGTAGATATAAATTTGGTCAACGGCAGATTGTTTTCTACAACATTGTTTTCTACAACATCCATTCAAAACCTAAATTATCGATCTGCTAATAATTATCAATAGAGTTAAAATTATTATGGAAAAATATGAACTTTTCATCAATTAGAGTTTGTCATGAATATATATATAAAGGATGTGACTGGTAATATAAAATAAAAGAAAAATAATTAAAAGAAAAATAATTCTTTTATTTTCTACTTGAATGTAATCCGTCAAATTAAAAAAAGTTGAATTGTTTTTCTTCCTAATTTCTCAAAAAGTAACATAAAAAAATCCTTTATTATATAAAAGAGAAGTCAGTCGGCAATTCTCAGAGTGACATGTGTCATCTACAATTTTAAAAAGGGAAATTTATTTTTTCTTTTCTCTGCAAAAGTTAAAAAAATATATATATTTTAGTTATTTTTCCTTTAATCCTTTTTTTATCTGTCGAAAACTGATTTTTTTTTTAACTACAAATTGTTTTAAATGAAACCACGAATCCACGATCCCACTCTTCTTTCTTTTCAACCATAATCAAATTAACTTTCCACTTTCATCCACTAATTTCTTCAAACCATCATGTATCGTTTGTCTCATATTATAAAAGGATGAGATTTGCAACTTATTACAAATCTTCCAATTAATTTTCTAAATCTTATTTCTAATCCTTTAAAATTAACAAAAATCACTAAATTTTTAACAATAGCATATGCTCCTGTTAAAAATATTCCACAAAAAATATGAGAGAAAAAATTCTTACAAAAAGTTTAACCCTTGTTATAATGGAGATCTAGATACTTTCAAATTAAAACTTTAATATTCTAGGTAACCATTGAATCACTAGATTTGGCACTTCTACGATAAAACTAATTTATTGCTATAAGATAACGATTTCTTACTTTTAATATAAAATATATAATTATGTCTTGTGTGGGCTATATATTCGGTAATAGGGTGATAAAAGAAAATATTAATTGTCCGATTGTGAACGAGGAAGAAAAAAGAAAAGAAGCTAAAACAGTGACAGACAAATCAAGCTGAAATCTAAGTGGGTCACAGCGGTCTGTTTTGAGTTAGACGTATCAGGAAACCTATAACTTTGTTCCTTATCGTGTGTATACCTCTACCTATATCGTGTTATGTAACCAGTTCATAATTAATTCGAAAAATATAAATATTAGGAAATTATCGACAAGAAGATAATTGTAACTATTGAATTTAATAAGGTCAAGAGCTTGCAGCCGCAGAAATCTACGGCCAACCTCCCGTAATCAGAGCTCAAAACATGGGTCCCTTGCTACTACTTTTGTTTCTCAACTTCAATTCATTTTGATGGTTCAACAAAAACAATACAAAGTCGGTTACGTTAGTTCTCAACATTTTTCGAGTGACACACAAAATATAAGAACTCAACAAAAATGATAGAAAAAAAGAGAATGAATGCGTAGGTTTTGCCACAGGACCACAGTCCACAGGTAGTCGACAAACACAGTTTAGGCTAACGTTTTAATTACGATAAAAGAACAAAATAAGGAAATTTTGATCATTTGATGAATTGTTCAGAATTAATATCAAGTTCTTAACGTACGCTTGTATCTAGAAATGATTAGATTAGCGCCAAAAATCATTTGATACTCTTCTTACTCCTTGTTCAAATATATATTATATATACATTTTTTACCAATAAAAAATAAATAAAATATATATATATACATTCATTACATATATAATATGTATCTGTCGATTTATCAAGCTAGTCTCACGGGGACTAAATGGTAAGTAATGAACAAATTGACTACATATTAGAGCATAATATCCAGTAAACAAAAAAAGGAAATCAAAATTTAACGATCATAGGAGAAACTAGAAATCGCAAGATAGAAAACAATATCATAGATTTTCACCCCACAAATAAAAATAATAATATCATAGGATTCCTTGAGTTTACAATTAAACGCCAAAATATATAAATTAATCGCGGGGTTGAAAGAAGACAAACAAATATAATATTTTTCTTCTACTCATCAAATTGTTTTTTTTTTGGTAGTGTAGGAGTAATGAAAATTGAAAGCGATAGTTTTTTTTTTACATTTTTATTAAGCTTGAGATCAATAGCCCATGCATGCACATGCCTGCCGTTTTGTCTTTTTCATCGTTTCCTCTCGTACTCGTCTCCTATTTTATTTTCGCTTCTCTTGGTTTTTGTTTGTTTGTCTGTAATTGCACATTAATTTAGATTAGTTACATTTTAATACACTTGTTAAAGATCCTTCTGGAGAAAACTGGTATACCTTAAAAAAAAAAATTTTCTTGATAAGTTTGAGCAAAGTACCTCTCCCAAAACTGTTGTAACAAATTATATTCTATCAGCATTGTGTTACGTATCACACAATGGAGTCGAGTACGCATCACGCATGGTTAGTATTACACGTAGGAATGAGTTTGTTCGCATGTATACATCAAAAATGCATCATGACATTAAAAAAAAAAATTGAAAGAAAAACACTAATTACAGAAATCTTCTAATTAATATCTGCGATTTGTAACAAAACATTTTTCTCTTTATTAAAGGACAATAACAAAAACTTTGAAGGCTTTGTCCAAAAAAAAAAAAAAAACAAAAAAAAAAAAACAAATACTTTGAAGGCCAAAACCAGCATATCTGATATCTGTATATATGTTTGTAATCTCATGAACCATGTGAATCCATCATAGTAATATGCAAATCAGACAACCACTTTCCCAATCCTCTCGCATGTGTGCATGCGTGTAGTATATTTACGAATCATAACCCAGTTGTTGCATAGTTACGACCGTTAACGAAATCTGCCGCTGATTCTGAAGCTCAACTTTTTATCGTAAAGCTGTTAATCTCGAGGAAGTTCTCAAGTGTTTGATATTCACCGTCCGATTAGATTCCTGGTAGATTTTCTCTGCGACAAACAAATAAATTAGCCTCCACTTACTTTAATTTGTTCATTTCAAGAAACAAAGATTCGTGTGGCTAAAAATGGCCTTATTATCCTCGTCTCACCTCCTACTCCTATGCTCACTTTCTGTTGCTGACGATGCTCTGATGAACAACTTGTGTTTTTTTTTTTCTTGATATTTTTCTTAATTACAGAAACTCTTATATATATACTTTTTTATTATTATTTAAAGCTTCGAGATAAACATTTTGAATTTCTTTGCACACAAACAAAAACATTTATAATTTAAATTCTATTGATAGTGCTAATGAGATCGAAGTTTGATGAAAATCCAAGGTTATTTCCGCTTTATAATAGTATTTTTTTTTTTAATTTTTTCCACTCATTTACAAAAATATATGCTAGAACCTTAGAGTATTATTATGAAAGACATTGTCGATTAATTTTGAGTGTTTAAACCTACCATTCCTAATAATTATAAATTATCTAATAATACAAGACCTTGATTTGGTCCATATGTTTTTTTTTTTGGTTAAAAGGCTTTGGTTCACATGTTTTCATTAATACGATCTTCAGTATAAAATATTATAGTATTTTACAAATTGAAATGACTTGTACCGAATATATAAGAGCGTCATTAGTTTAGTATCTTATTATCGTGTATTCACATACTTATCCTACTAAATCTGAATCCGAAGTTAGTCGAGTTTCGGCCGGAATACTCCTTTAAAAAGCACCAAAGAGAGAGTAATAAACCATATAGTCCATATGAACAACCCTTGTTTGAAAAATCGCTAGGCGCTAGTCGGGCGCTCGGCATGGGCCTAGCGATTAATCGGAAAATCGGATTAAAATCGGGGATTAATCGGGGATTAGTTTTAGGGTTATTTTAATATTTTTAAAACATATTAATCCAATATTATTTTTAAAATTGCAGTAAACACATAAAAATGTATTTTTGAGACAAATATTTATGATTTTTATTAAAATATGAACATAAATTATTGTAAAACATTACAAACTCCCAATTCAAATGATTGAATAACAAAAATAAAAAGTTTTTTTATACTGGCAATCTAAAAATAATCGGGGTATGTAAGATTAGGCGGGGAATAATCGGATTAGGCGGGGAATAATCGGATTAGGCGGAGAGTAATCGGATGACTGATTTCTTTAAGGGATTAGTCATTAATCGAGGCGGACAGGGTGGATCTAGCGATTAAGCGGGGAGTAATCGGATCTAGGCGGGGATTTTTAGAACAGGGTGAACAACCAATAGGACCAATTGCAAAAAATATACACTTTCTGAAACTTATTCAAAATCAAGAAATAATCTCGTCCGATCC